CACTCATCACTTTATATAGTTATCTGTGTGTGTGTAAGGAGAGAATTTGAAAGATCTATTCTCTTAGCAACTCTCAAGAACTATACAATACAGTATTACTAACTATAATCAACATGTGGCATATTAGATGGCAGAACAGGTCCACCTTATGACTGGAAGTTTGAAACCACTGACCACCCTTACCCATTTAACCCTCACTCACCTGGCCCTAACAATCACCAATTACTCTCTGTTTCAATGAACTCAGTGTTTTTTGAGATTCCACATAAAAGTGAGAACATAGAGTATTTGTCTTTGTCTGACTTATTTCACTTAGCATAAGACCCTCACATTCCATCTATGTTGTCACAAACAACAGGATTTCCTTTCTTTTTTTATAACTGAATATGAATTTCCATTGTGTGTGTGCATGTGTATGTATGTAATATATACATTTATACACCATATATTCTTTATCCACTCATCTATCAATAGACACTCTTTTTTTTGGTATCATTAATCTACAAGTACATGAGGAACATTATGTTTACTAGACTCCCCCTACACCAAGTCCCCCCCACTTACCCCATTAGTCACTGTCCATCAGCAAGTAAGATGCTGTAGAATCACTACTTGTCTTCACTGTGTTGCACAGCCCTCACTATGCCCCCACACACATTATATATGCTAATCATAAGGGCCCTTTTCTTCTTTCCTGGCCTTCTCCCTCCCTTCCCACCCATCCTCCCTAGTCCCTTTCCCTTTGGTGACTGTTATTCCATTCTTGGGTTCTGTGATTCTGCTACTGTTTTGTTCCTTCAGTATTTCTTTATTCTTATACTCCACATATGAGGGAAATCATTTGATACTTGTCTTTCTCTGCCTGGCTTATTTCACTGAGCATAATACCCTCTAGCTCCATCCATGTTGTTGCAAATGGTAGGATTTGTTTTCTTCTTATGGCTGAATAATATTCCATTGTGTATATGTACCACATTTTCTTTATCCATTCATCTATTGATGGACACTTAGGTTGCTTCCATTTCTTG